CGTCATCTCAAATTAGTGAATGCCCGATTCAATCGTATGTGATGACGTTACACTCATTCGGTTTACATCAATGTCCGCATCATCAGTGGTGACGTAAGCTGCATGGTTAAGTAAATACTGTGGTGAATATCTAATATCTTTATTGATAGATTTAAGTAAAATTAAATTCACTTATTTTCGACTTCATGTAAATTCTTCAACTCTTTAATATTAGCACTGCTCGCTATACATAAGGACACTTCACAGTTATATTCATTTGCTAAGTGACGTCACAATCCCGTTTTTTATCACAATGTGAAATCACAGGATATATCATACATAGTGTCCAGTATCTATAGACAATCACTTATCTATAGCTTCGATCAACTCGTGTGTTATTTATGTTCTGAAAATTGAATAAGTAGTCGATATCTACTGTTTGAACTAGTGCACAACAATTAGTAAATGCTTAATCAATTAAGTAAACGTATAGAAATCTTGATCACATGTAAGTATATTTGATACAGTTTCACGAGAGAAAATTCTTGAAGTAACCTCGATACATTTCTATCCGCGAAAAAAATCTAACTTTGATTAAATTATATTGATTGAATTTGAAGTGTGACGTTTCAATAGCCTTGAATATATAATGTGACGTGTCAGAGAAACAAAGGTATTGAAAAATAAACTGTTATCGGTTTCTCGGCGTAACTTGCACGTAAATCCCATTTGATGATCTGAGAACGATGTTATTTACCCTCTGTGGTGGTCTTGACAGTACGGGTGAAAGGTCGAATCTATGTAGTGTTCTTGCTACGGCTACTTTCATCTCATTCATTGCAAAATTTTGTCCAATACAATTTCTGAAAAAGTATATATACGATACGTTTTATATATGTATTAAGAAACAGTCAACAGCAACGACAACAACAACATAATTGCGAGATACAATCGTTCAAGCATTAGGCAAGTCTGAACTGACTCTCATCGTCCTCCTCTTGCCTCGAAATTCATCCATTCCAATTGTATTTCAGTTATATTAATTATTCCACACATTTACATTTGAACTATGTGCTACGAAATGTGTAAATTATAAACGAGTGTGAAGACAGCGCACGGTACGATTCGCGTTCGATTCACGTACGATTCGCGGGCGATTCACAATACATTATACAGAGCGTGGTGGTAACATTAGAAACCAACACTGAACACCTGGTGACATCATCACCGGAATAAAATCCAACATTCCTGAATGGGCAATAACTATAGTTACCTTGGCCCGGCAGAAAATGGCACATATGCATACGGAGACCTCGACTTCGAATTTTCTGGTAAGAATCTGGATGGATCAAACTCCAGAGGATTATCCCATACCAGTGAATTATGATGTAATGCATTAATGGCAATTAACACATTATATCCTTGGGGTGAAATAACACAATTCACATTAGCCTTCTAATGGCAGTGAAGCCATGGCACAATATATTGTCAGAGTTATGTGTTCTACGTACTTAGCCGTTATTTTAATTTGTTTCGATATTTGCTCCCCAGTCCAGTTTGATAAATTACCATCTCCTTACATTATTCTGTGATTGCCCTGGTAACTTATATTAAGACACAATTTTAAAATAGTACATGACTAGTCTATGCATGTGCATTAATGATAGATTCAAAAGATTGAATACGTGCATATTATAATAATAATATACTTTGTATTATATTTTAGTCTAGCAATATACAAAGCGAAACATATATATTGTAGTAAATACTGATCAGAACTGGAATCAATGCTAAGCTACTTACAAGGTTGTACCTGATTGGCTATACAAACCTAATACCCAACAGTAAGACCAATCAGAAATAAGCTTGTTTGTTGATGAGGTTTTTTTGACGTATCAAATTCAGTATTGCATTAAGCTACGACTCACCTCGGAAACTGGGAGTACAAAACACATAATGTCTACATTTCACCCCTAACATGTAAAAATCGGTTGAGAATATATATACCATGTTTTTTTCAAAAATAATTTTATTTTACTGACCATGATGAACTCACCTGCAGGAATAGCTCTGCCGTCAGGAAGGGTTAAAGATGATTTCAATTCACGTGATATCATTGGAACAGGATTTCTAATCCTCAGACTTTCTTTAATACATAAATTTGTATACGACAATTTGCTTAGATCTTCCCTGTATACGTGAGAATATAATTACTGGCATGTTCACTTGTAGTCGATAACATAGCGTCATATCCGGTAAAAAACATGGAAGATGACACGTACAATAACATAAGTCAATATACAACAATAAACTGAAATACATCTCGGAGTAGATAAATCAGTGAATGATAGATATATATCACAAGTTTACAGCGAAGACGTGAATAGTGATGTTGTGAAATGAGTATGGAATGAAATGTTTGACCATTTGAAAATGTGACAATATCTGATATTATAATGTGTATTACCATTCAATGTCTTTCTTTCTAGTTTTGGCCAACAAAGTGTCTATTTCGTCTTGGCATTTTTGCTGATGTTCCGGATATTTAGCCAAATTGTATAGACACCAGGATAACCCACTGGCAGTTGTATCGTGGCCTTCAAACATAAATGTGTCAACTTCATCCCGAAGTTCCTTATCAGACAAACCATGTCCATCTTCATCCTGAAATCAAATATTACTAGACATGAACTAAACTTTCATATAATATATAATAGTATCAAATAATTATACATTATGTCATTATTGTTATGCTTGGTATAGTTGTATAAACTTTTTGTGACTATACGTGATATTTATGTTACACATTATGTGTATGCACAGTATATAATAAAACAAGTACCTTTGCGCTCAAAAGAATGTCTAGAAAATCGATGTATTTTCTTGCTGGCTTATCATCCCCACGTTGCCGCAGGGCTTGTTTTCGTTCTTGTATAACTCGTGCAGAGTAACCATGAACTGCTCTGAGGGCTTTCCTGAATTTATATCCACTAATTGACAGGTTATAGATGATGTCACTGTGGTAAGGCACAAATCTACTTCGCTCGCTTATTAAATGAGATAAGGCATATACACTGCTTATATATGGATTTTGGGATCTGTAAACATTTTAATGTTGTGTTATATGGGTGTACATATAGCAACTACTCAACTATTCATACTGGCAACTTTAGTGTATGAAATAAATATTATATATGAATGTAGGAATTATCTTTTTACATACTTAGCGGTTTGGCAGTGACTTTCTTGGCTGAAGATACACTTCAACAAACTATCCAAAGTCATCAAACTTAAATTTTCAAACATTTCTATGGAATATGACCTGGAGCTAGATAATTCACACAGATTAGACCATTTATCCTGGGAGAGAGAAATGTTATATATTAGCATATTATGGCACATACAATTTCATTATTCCGCAAAAATATTAATCCATGGTAAATATTTATAATTTTACGTGAAGTCTGTAAAAATCAATGAATTGAGGGACCAGTGGACACAGTTTGTTCTTATTGTACCACCAATATTTAACTGCACTGTATTGAAAACCTACAATCAAACACATATTGCAAATAGATAATAGAAAACTAGCCGAATAAATCATTCAATAACTGAAATAATATTCGCTGCGTCTAAACAATCGTGCTTCAGAAGACAGTCAAACTGATATTTTACTGATATTTTAGGGAAATCATATTCACCAATTCAATATTTGGAAGTCTTCCTTCATCACATGGTGTGATTACCATGAATTAAGACTGGTAAGCCCTTTGACAACACATTTCTAAGAGCTGTCAGGAAACTTAGCTTGTCAACAGCACATTCCAACTAATCTACATGGGATACATTACATGTGATCATGGGTCAGGACTCCTTTTAATTCCTTGCCAAACAAAGTAATACAAGTAATACAAACCAGCATAGTCTTTACACAGTCGTTATATATCTGTACATATGGTCTGAGAATATCGAAATGAAATCCAGGAGTCAAAAGACGTCGATTTCTAAACCATTTTTGTCCGCTGCTTATTAATAATCCATCACCCAGCCATGGTTTTAGCATACCATACAAGAACTCATCTTTTGGTTCTACAGAAAGAGTAAACCGAGTTACTCTAAATGTAACAATTATTGCATATTCTTTTGTGAAAAAGGCTCATATGTAGACACTCATCCATATTTATTCAGCCACAACGTCATCTAATTATGTATCACCATTTTATTAGTATATATCATTTATATATATTTGAAAAATGTACCTGTGGTGGTTAGAATAGCTTTGACCGTGGATGGATGATTGACGGCCACTCGTGGTACAAATGGTCCAAGCCACATTATTGCCACTGGGCTAAATTCGTGAGAACGAGTCGAAATGTCTGCTAAACTGGCCTCGTTGTTTTTAAGCTAATAGAAGATACAATAGATGTTTTCATTTCTATATAATAATGGAAATAAAAAGCGAATGTCTACATCGACTTAGTTATAGTTTATGTGTATGGATGTTTGAATTATTGTGTGAATAAAGATTACATTATTAGATATCATGAGCACACTATTTTTATAGCGAACTGTATGTTGTTGGCATTAATATTGTTATTACACCTTTAGATAAGAGTTCATTTAACTCTGAATACTAACTGAAAAATTGCAGCATTTACATCCCTTTTCTTGGACGGTTACGAATGTCCTACTTGAAATTGTTTTCACTAATATTTTCGTAGCCGCCCTGATTTTTATTGAAGTTTTTCTAATAATTACAAATACGTAATTTGACATTATCAGCTATATTATGTATAATCAGAGAACACACATGATATTTCCCTACCAAATGCAGATGACCAAACAGCCAGTGACGGTGTGGGCATGGTATCTCAGCCAGGTCTCTCTCTGCACGCCATCTTGCTTGCAGTTGTTGGTATAGTTTGTATAGAACATTAGTGAACAACGCTATCGAAATAAATAGCCACAGAAAACGGTAGTTGAATAAACCATACCCCATAGATACCAGTTCCCGTAAGCCTGGTTGCAGAAATCCTAACATCGTAGAATAGTAATGGAAATCGTTGCCACTATACTGCAACACAATATATTTACTAGTGTCAAATCATAATAAGGTGAACGAACTAATGTGTAGATCAAAGTTTGTGTTTATTTACAGGTATCTTAATCAAAACGTATGTAATCATTAAACGGGGTATCAAAATAACTAGTAATAATTAATTGCACATTGTTACGTTGATTCAGACAGAAATAAAATATAGAATGGTATAAGCGGTTATGTAATACACAACTACTTTTGTTTTGTTTTACAACAGAGATTTGGGACCGAGATGCGATACAGTACTACGACTGAAAACATCTACTCACTCACCTTCTATCATTTCTCCCAGCATGCCACATATCAAATGGCGTTTATTTGGGACCAAACTGCCACACACACACAACTTCCTAAATACCATTGCTGTCTTATGACAACGTAAACAACGATGAGACGTATAATACTTTTGCATTTTGTGTAATAATTTTGACGCGTTGTGTATTAGGTAAGAATATTTATACAAAATTCAAAACTATCAAATGATCAAAATAAATGCCCTAGAGTTTCATATCATATAAAATCATCAGGGATTATACATGATGCGAGTATGAAGTGTGATACAATTAATTATAATTCCTAATCCCTAAAATATTACGTATGGAGGGAAAGCATTGACAGGAAAATAATAACAGATAAACTGATGCAATAATAAGAATTGAATTCAAAAACATCCCAATAACCTTTGAGCTATGTCGGCCTAGTGTCGCCTTATAACACCAATGTAAAAAATGTGAGCTGTCTGTCACATCAGTGTTTATATCACATTCAAATACAGCACCTATGTCAACCCTAATTTACTAGCCTATGATCAGATGTATTAACTTAATACTACACCATAGCATACGGTAACAAACACTATGTTTTGGTACTATATGATATAGTTATTTTCAGCTTCAAAAATGTTCAGTACACACAGAACCAAACATACTATTTTCAATGTTAACCAGTGCTAAAACAAAACGTCATCCTGCCAACTAAACTCAACAAATCCAAATACAGGCAATCTATAAAACTTGTAACAATAATTCAGAGCAAGAATTTCTATTAAGGAACATTATTTTCAAATAATCTGAAGCTAGCAATTCTGAAGCCAGTACCTGTACCAAATGACAGTTTAGTTATTGGTTACTCAGGGGTGGTCTAACTCCAATTTAAAAACCACACCAAAATAACACCATAATTTGAGAAACAGTCTTCAAATATATCCATATTTTTTTATATGTCAATTCATTTGATGATCTGGTAGTACTGATGCTTATGGTGGATTGCCAAATATTGCAATTGACTATTTATATTTCCATCCATCCACTTATTGTAATGTAATACTGGTCGACACAATTTCTAAATATATCCCACACAACATAAATTCATGAAGTTCTTATACAAAAAACTTTTACTGAGCAAAATATCAGTAACTCACCGGTTACAAAACAGTGCATTTTAATGTGATCATCATCTCCTTTGTGTGCAGTGATAAAATCAAACTATTCAAAACACCTGACTATTCGCATGTTACCAACTTTTATATTGAACTTATGTATTTCGCAGGTTGTTCAAGCACATAACAATTAACATTGCGTCATTGTACACTCTGGCAATAGTTAGCATCTACGACTCATTCATGCTGTGTTCCTAAATTATCTTAATACTTAGTAATATATCTTATATATATATATATGTATTGTTCCTGGTCAACCTTAGATGCGAAACACCATTGTTGCTGAAGATATTATATTATATTATATTATATTATATTATATTATATTATATTATATTATATTATATTATATTATATTATATTATATTATATTATATTATATTATATTATATTATATTATATTATATTATATTATATTATATTATATTATATTATATTATATAAGTTATTAACAACAGTCTAAACATGATTGTTATCCCATATTTCTAGGCTGGACATGCAGGTGAATTCCATTTGACGATCTGGTGACAAGAGTATGCACTCTCTGTGGAGGATTATCTGGTACAGGTGAAAGGTCAAATCTACGTAGTGTCCTCGCAATCACGATTTTCATCTCATTCATTGCAAAATGTTGTCCAATACAATTTCTAAAATGATATGACATGACATGAATTGATTAGTACAAAATTATTATTATTATTATTATTATTATTATTATTGCTGTTGTTGTGTTCGATGTTTGGAGCTAAACATTAAGAAACATTTCATGACAGTATTGATGACTTTCAGATCATGCCATTTTACATAAATACGGTAGGTGGACGACTACAAATCGCGTATCCCATGGATAAAAACAAGCTTTACCTTGGTCCTGCCGAGAAGGGTGTGAATGCAAATGGAGATCGATCCTTTACATTTTCTGGCAAGAATCTGGTTGGATCAAACCTGGTTGGATTTTCCCATATAAGTTCATTATGGTGTAATAAACATATTGGTATTATTACGTTATACCCTGTTGATAGAGAATATAATTATTCTGTTATATATCTCGTGGAATGTTATCAATTATCTTTTTATTACTACACCAGTTTATTAAGTAAATTATTTAATTTATTAAAATAAACACACCTGCAGGAATCACTCTTCCATTTGGAAGGGTCAGTGGTGTTGTTAATTCACGTCCAATGACGGGCACAGGACTTCTGATTCTCATACTCTCCTTGATACATAATGTTGTATACGGCAAATGGCTTAGATCATCCCTGTTTTTATAACACACAAATACATGTGGGTCAATCTTTTCTTTAGTTGAGACGATGTTGCATACAAATTAACAAGCTCCTTAGGAGCTAGTGAATAGTAATAACAAGCTTGTAGTTAGTTTGATCAGGTGTACTTGAAATGGTGGCAAACTTGTACAAATATGCAGGTTTAAGTTAAGTGAATGTTATTTGTTTAGCAAATATGCTTGCATCATACTCGTAGTTACATTTGACTTGTTTTTAAAATGTGTTGCAAACTTATGATATACTTTTTATTTCAGATTCAGTGTTCATGACAAAATCGCACTGGTCTGTAAATGTGTGGCCAATGGTATCACTATTACATTTTTATTTCAGAATTTCAAGTGTTTTCAATAACTTATCTAATCTCACCACTGTTGTTTCACAGCATGCATGTTCCTTCAATCTTTTTAATTCGATAATCAGATAATTAATTCTGGAACAGGTGGAAGGTAAAACATTTTCAAAGACTGCAAACTATTTAAATACAACTTTTTTAGTGCAGGCATGTGTCACACTAGTCTCTAAAACGTTCCAGATACTTTTAGTAAATTTTCAAATCTTGCCGTTCATGAAATTGTAATCAACAAAAATGAACACAGACATTTCCCAGAGTAGTCTAAAAAAATCAAAAAAGAAAAAAAAAACCCTGTCCCACCCAATCATTCCATTGAGTTATTTCTGACATCACTTAAACAGAGTGAGTCTATAAAGGGAATACATATTCAAGGCTCGGATACGACATATTCATCATCTGAAAATGATTTAACCTGCTTCTTGAGATATTTAAGCTCTGTTAATAATTAGTTTACATTGTAAGATTCATTCGTCATTTGGGCGCGGAGGTATCGTATGGATAAAACCTATAGTATTCACTGGCCATTGTCACCAATCAAATATATTTTTGTTACATCTAGAATGTAAATTGAAGATTGAAGGAGCACTCGATTCTTTTAAAAATGCTTGCAGTTTTGGCATGTTCGAAAACTGTCATTGACAGGCAAAACACAAATAGTTAAATCACTGCTAATTCCACAATTTCTTTCTTTATTTCATTTTATAGTAGTTAAAATGAACAAAATTAAAACATTAAACAGATTTATCCACAAATTTATTTGAAGGGGGACAGGGTGGCAAGAAATACTATGATTAGTGATTATCTCCTGATGTAAATATCAACTTTCTGTACTGTCTACCACACTGTCTTTTTTTGTAAGAGCCATCTGTACAGTTGATGATGTGCCATTCAGTCAGTAGAAAACATCGTAGTTTGGAACAATTCTAAAATACTCATAAATGACAGGAGTGTATGTTACACAGACTTCCTTCCCAGAGGTATTATTTATATTGACTTGTATGATGCAGGCGGATATCCAAAAAAATCAAGGATTACTTTCATCTCTGCCTGCAGAATACTTTTTCTAAATTGCCTAAATATCATAATACTTGTTAAACAAACAAAGGGTAATCTGCTTGTATTGTTAGCTGAATACACATTATGTAATGTAATCTTATTTGAAGTGAACCACGTCTTTGAATAAAAGTACAAAACAAATCTATTTTTATGTTAAATATTAACACAATTACTAATAGTACTATCAATATATATTAACACAGAAATATATTAAATGCTACAATGAATAAGTTAAATTGGTACAACTTTGTCTAAAGAAAGTTTGTCAGAGAAGTTACCTCCACTATGAGATAAACAAAATGAACATAAACATTACCATTCAATTTCATCCATTGCTCTTTCATTCAACAAGTTATCAACTTCTTCTTGGCATTTTCTTTGATGTTCCGGATGAGTTGCAAGATAATACATACACCAGGATAACCCACTGGCAGTTGTATCGTGTCCCTCGAACATAAAGGTATCGACTTCATCTTGAATTTCTTTGTCAGACAGACCATTATCATCTTCATCCTAGGGAAATAGAATGCAAAGTGTAAAATAAACCAAGTGTTTACGTTTGTATGTTACAATTCAACAGTTGATGTATTGGTACTGATCCCATATAATAATTGCCTGTATATTTAGAGTGAGATTATTATGTCCCCCATATTATGCTACTCCCCCCAAGATGACTTGATAAGCGTATAATTTATCGAGTAGTGCGTGTTATTCAGACTAACGCCAATAACGCCATGCCCTGAAATAAATTTGTGGATGTTTTTATTTGTCTATTTATATTCGAAACATTTAGATTAGGATAAGGAGCTTTAAAAGTATCTTTTATATATGATGTCTCAGTCCTTGATGGTTCTGAATGTGTAGATTAGAATTAACGTAGTACCTTAGCAGTCAAGAGAATATCTAGAAAATCGATGTATTTCCTTTTGAGTGTGACACCTCCATCTTGTCGCAGAGCTTGTTTTCGTTCTTGGATAACTCGTGCAGAATAACCATGAACTGATCTGAGGGCTTTCCTGAATTTATATCCACTGATGGACAAGTTATATATCATGTCGTTGTGGTAAGGTATACATCTAATGCGTTCAGCTATCAGATATGTTAGAGCATGAACGCTACTGACATAGGGGTGTTGAGAACTGAAGAAGAAGTTTTAAAATTATAATAAATGTACATGTATATATAAAGTTGTAAAGTGAAATGATATCAGCAAAGGTCATTTTTTATCGGAATCTGTGATTTGACATACCTTGTAGTTTGACAGTTACTGTCTTGGCTGAATATACACTTCAATAAAATATCCAATGTCAAAAGTCCTGCGTGCTCGAACACTTCTATAGAGCATGTCCGAGACCCCACTGACTTCCATAGATCAGACCATTTATCCTGTTTTGAATAAAATAATCTCTTATATAATACATAAATACATTTTGTATCAGTCACATACCTACCTGCTTGGATTTTCGGCCAAAATTTCCACAATTTGCGATCGTCGCGAATTATTCCGATTAGTAGTATTATTATATTTAATTATAATAAGACTTATCTGAAACAATAACTATTACTAGTAACTATATGTATGTTTGTTATAAACCTTTTCGTTAAATAGAAGTAGCAAATCGGTATGTAAATAATACGAGATTATTACAAAGATACCTCAAAGTATGCCGATGACAGTGCAGCGGGAGTATCGACCGATGCGTAGCGGAGGTCGATGCGATGGTGTACTGTCTGAGTGCATACTTTGAGGCATCCTCGTAATAACCCTAGTATTATACATTCCCAAGGATACATCATGGGAATGCCGAAATCAAAAATGTTTAGAAAAGAATCAGCGAACTTCTTGTGGAGTCTTGAGAAGTCCTGTTAGCAGCCAAGTTTGTTTTTATTATTAGAGCACGCTTATCATTCCATATTTGGAATTCGCATTTTTTTATATGGTAGGATGAAAATACCCCGTAAAACACCGCAAAATTACGGCACGCTATAATATATTATATAATAATAAATTATTTTAATTTTCACATATAAGAAAATAGGGTCATATAAGCTACATGCCAAATTTTAAATTCATTAGTTAAAACATTCATCAGAAACAAATTCCCCAATTTCTACCATTTTTGCTGAAAATCCTAGAAGGCGCCAAACCACGTAAAAAGTATTTTTCCTATAAGAAGTTTTAGCCATACATGCTATATACAAAATACCAATTTGATCGGTTGGTGCATTCATTCATTCATTTTTGTCAGAAATCAAAGATGAAAATATTTTTTTCACTGTCTGGAAGAGTTCAGACAAGAACATGGCAACATTGCAAATTACAAAGTAATATGATAACTGAAGCACCAGCAAAAACTACTTTCTGTTTTCTGGCAGCCAAATAACGTTATCTACCTCCCACGTTTCTCAAACTTTAATGTTCTTTAAACATGGATGTTTAAAAACAACTTTTACCGCAATGTTTAGTGGTTTAGAAGGATATTTAAGGGTTTAGAATGGCGACTTCCGGTTTCAAGAGCGGTTTCAAATTCAAGAAGACTGCCAAACCAAGTAAACCAAGTCACATTAGGGTCATCATCATAAAAATATCGGAACATTCCGTTAAACGTTTTTCACAAGACGTCGTGAAGAAAGTAAAATGTAAAAAGGTGAAACTGACTTGGTCCTATATTAAACATACCAACATCGTCTTCACACATTCATTGTATATCTGTACATAAGGTCTGAGAATGCCAAAATGAAATCCTGGAGTCACAAGTAGTCGATTTCTAAACCATTTCTGTCCTTTGCTCATTAGAAGTCCATCGCCTAACCATGGTTTTAACATGTGGTAAAATAAATCATCTTTCGGATCTAGATATGGATGGAATATGACAAAATATGATATACATGAACGAAGGGCCGTCAGATGTTTTGATTGAAATAAGTGAACATCATAAGTAAAATTATCCAAGCTTCCTACTAAATAATTCGCTCTACACAAGTGTGACAATTAAGTGATCCCAAAAGTACACTTGAGATAAAATGTAAAATGAATCTGCCTCTTTAGTGGATAGTTCTCTATTATCGGGAGGAAACAGTCAGACATTTCCACTCGTTGACATCATCACTGGCCAAATCAACAGCTACAACAGCTTCTCAGAAAACTGTAATTTGGGCTAGTTGTTGGGACTGAACAGTATCAAGGAAACATGTGCAACATGTATCTATTTGGTTGCCCAGGATTGTCTAAAAGTTGAGTTTGTGTTATTTTGGCAACTTTAGCAGTTTTCACCAGTTCTTTGCACAATGCTTAGATCACGTACAAAGTAATATCAAGAGCAGTATGGCAGACAAAGACATTTCAACATTGTTATATTGAAGATATTGCAAACTAGATCTGATTAACATATTTAATGACCTAATATGGCATAAATAACATATCCGTAGTATTGTAACTAGCGCTTGTGAAAAAAATGGTTGATAGTTTTTTTGTGCCAATTTAAACTGTTGTCATATTTAGTTTAGGGGTTCTCCCCGCCTGCGAATAGGAGTGTGATTAAATATGATGTAATGACGTAAACACATACCTGTAGCGCACAATATAACCTTTACGGTCTGTGGATGATTGAGCAATACTACTGGTGCAAATGGTCCAAGCCATAACACTGACGCTGGGCTTAATTCTTTCGATCGACTATAGAATTTGGCCAATGCAGCTTCTGTGTTTTTCAACTGTGCATGCAGGAACACATATGCAGGTACATCAAATAACAGCTTACAGTTAATATGTTTATTTCTGCTTCCACAGTTGTGGCATATTAATACATGAATAAAATACCATATGTTGATTGGTAAACTGTATTTATAAAACATAATTATCAGTGTACACATGGATTTTTTGTCATGAACATTGTAATGTCAGAATATTACGAACCAATATTATGTTCCCAAACAGCCAGTGACGATCTGGACTTGGTATTCCTGCCAGGTCTCTCTCAGCCCTCCATCTTGTTTGCAGTTGTTGGTACAATGTGTACATTACATTGCCGAATACAATTAAAAGCAGAACATGGTAGTCGATCAAACTATACAATATATACACTATATCTCGCAAGGTTGATGTCAGAAGTATAAGCATTTTAGTCAATAAATGAAAAGCAGAGGGATAAAAATAAACAATGTTCGGCTTAAATTGACTTGTCAGTTTGTATCAGTTTAACACCTTTGAGGGCGTGTTCAATATTCATACAGGGGTGTATTAAGAACAGTAATATAAAACACGAAATTACAGATCATTATAGTAAATGAAACATGGTCTCTGTCAACGTGTTGTACACGGTCGGGTTCCACTGTAAAAAGAGATGTAAAGAAGACTTGGAAACAACACACGAGAAAACTAATTAAATGTAAAAAAAATATTAGTTGCTCTCTAATAATTCGTCTTACCTTTAATGAGTTTGGTTAAATACGAATGAAAAATGAATTTCACGCCCGTTATTGGGAATGCAAACATTGTTGTACACAACATTCGCATGAACTTTGCGAATTGCTGAATTGGTTAACCCATTTCACCCTTTGTTTTAACTGAATAAACAATTACTAACATTGTGATAACGTTATTACTACAGTAACTCGATTGAGATAGATGTTAGCACACAATAATATGCAGTCTGATTGGTAGATTCAAATAGTGTGGATGTGTTTTGAATATGTATATAGACCAGGAGAATACAGGGCTGTGGAGTTAAGACTAAGTTTGACGGAAGTTCCATTGAACCTGTTCCGAAAGTGACCTGGAGGTTCACAGTGATTGCTCTTGATCCTGCTTTGAATGTAGTTACTTGTGACCGTGAGTTTGTCATACAAAGACCCTTAACAGTATTATAGTGTTCATGTCATATCTACAGCGCCGATTGGCTACTATTCAATCTGTGTTGCTTTGAAGGTCACAGATGATGGCTGTATGATGTCCATAACGTTCTATTAGTATTCAATGTTATCCGTGTGTCGTGTTGATCGACTCGGTTATGCTCAGTGCTCACGCCGTGTGTCGTTTGACTTGTTGTGGTATTTTCAGATTGTCACTCTTGTGACCTTGTTGTGTAAGGTTCAGACTAACAATCGAAAGTATCAGGTTTAATTAGAAAAATGTTTTTTCCATGGCAGGGTAAATACACGTGGTACAATTTGGTGTGCTGCTTGGTGTCAAATGCACTGACGTCAGCAACAATTTGTATGATCCAACACCAGTGACGATAAATACCATGTATTTTTTACGGAAAGCTCAAAATCAGCGCAGCAATTGTTAAACAAATGGATGGGGAACAATGAGTTGACGAGATGAGTGTGTTGTTAGTGGATAGTACCAATGAGTACCTGCCAGCATATCCCTGGTCAGAATTGAATTCAAAATCATCCCAATAACCTTTGAGCTATACTCCGAGTGTCGCCGCGTAACACCAATGTCAAAAATGTGACCTGTCTGTCACATCAGTGTTTCATATTACATTCAGCTACAACGCCTATGTCAACCCAAATTTACTGGCCTAATATGTTCACCTATTTTAACTTAATACTACACCATACGGGTACAAACACTATGTCTTGGTACTATATGATACTCAATAATTGTCAGCGTTAATAATGTTCAGTACACACTGCCCACAAGTCCCACAGACTATTTTCCATATTAACTAGTGCTAAAACAATACGTCGTGCTGCTGAAAAAAAAACACTCAAATACAGGCAATACAATCAGGTTATCTATAATACTTGCTACAATGAAGTAACATTACGCCAAACCAGTTTTTCCCCGTGTAGGCGGTGGTGTTGCGTAATTCTATATTTAAATCATATTTATGTTTCGTACATGTCAATTCATATCTGGTAGTACTGTTGCTTATGGTTGCCCCAAATTGCAATTGACAGTTTATATTTCCATCCATCCACTTAATGTAATATTGGTCGACACAATTTCTAAATATATCCCACACAACATATATTCATGAAATTATTCGCCTGGCTTTTGTCTTCTATAAATAACATTTACTGAGCTGAAAACCAGGAAGATAAAACTCCCCGGTTACAATACAGTGGTTGTTCATGCAGTCATCATATAGTGTCATAATTTCATAACATTTGTCATGATCATCTCCTTCGTGTGCAGTGATAAAAGCAAACTATTGAAAATACCCCTTGTCTATAAAACACATTTGTGACTATTAGACTATTGTTATCAACTCCAATATCAAACAAATCATGTGTAAAACTATGTACGACCATGCCAGTTTACATTTTCATGAATGATTTTGAGATTAACAAATACAAAACACGTATCCCATACATGGCTAAGTACAGCTTTACCTTGGTCCTGCAGAGAATGGTGTAAATGCAAATGGAGATCGATCTTTTACATTTTCTGGCAAGAATCCGGATGGATCAAACTTGGTTGGATTTTTTCATAAAAGTTCGTTATGGTGTAATAAATATATTGGTATTATTACGTTATACCCTGTTGATAGAGATTATAATTCATCCGTTATATATATATCGTACAATGTTACCAATTATCTTTTTATTACTACACCAATTTATCAAGTAAATTATTTAATTTATTAAAATAAACACACCTGCAGGAATCACTTTTCCATCTGGAAGGGGTCAGTAGTGTTGTTAATTCACGTCCAATGATGGGCACAGGACTTCTGATTCTCATACTCTC